TTTAGCACTTGGCTCCAATCGCAATAGCACTTAGCTTCAGGGAAGCACACTTGAAGCCTCGGTCATACGCTTACATTAATCTAAGAATCTAATAACAGAAAAATCACAAACTTCGAACTAACTCATTTAAATGTACGACTTAGATAATCAGAGTGGTTTTTGCGTTGGCTCTACTTTGTAACACTCAGAGAGTTCTAGAAGCAAAGTGGTTCAAAGATCCTATTGAAACAGGATATATCTATATAGATTACAACTATAGATTTAATAATACGTGATTTACGATCTTTTGAATAGTGATTTACAATCTTTTAGAGTGGGATTAACAGATCTTATACAAGTCTTTGCTATATATTTACTTCAAGTGGCTTGTCAGTCAGGTTAGATCGTTTGTCAATATCTAGCAAATGGATCATTAGACGTACTTTAATAGACTGATCGTGATCGTGTGATCATGTGATCAGCAGATGCTGTTGCAAAAGAAAACAACAAAAAAAATGTACTGAAATCATTCGCATTTTGTTATCGCGGAATGCGACAGGTAAATGGGGCCAAATACATATGGATGATAAAATTCCGATGCACCGGTTGACGATCAGGATGTTAGTATGTCAACAAAGTGGTCTATGTGACTGCTGACACGCACCGCACAATTATCAAATGGATCGCCCGGGGAGAAGGGGCGTGGCGTGGTTCGTGGCGTGCTTGAAATGAGCACAATTGTAGGCATCAAAACAAAATGAGATGCCATATGAAGCGATTAAAGTGTCTATAAAGACACTCCGAACAACACTCGCAGCCACTGAGATACAGATTTCAATACAGCGATACGAAAGTACCGACAGGGATATACTATATATACCTATATACATCGAGTTAGCTTTAGAATCGGCTAACGTGCCTGGCATAATTTATAGAAGCATTTGTGTAGGCTTGTCTTAATGGCGAAAAATTGAAAGCATTTAGCATTTCAAGCACTTACACACTGTGGGAGGGTGGTGGGGCGTGCCAACTGGGCGGCACATTATATATATATATATATATGGAGAGGGCCTACAGGTGTTTACATTCAACGACCCATTACCGAGCACGCCAAAAACAAAAACAAATCGAAAGCTTAATTGATGATTGCCAGCCGTCAAGTAGCTCAACTCTGAACTATACAGTAACTATATACATATATACTATCTATAGCTAAATATATATACATAGATACATCCAGGTATACATTGCGAAAAGAAAGCCAACAATTATCGCATTAAATTGCAACAATTAAAGTTCAGCGAATTAATTCTAATGCGCGTTACACTTGATGCTGTTCAAACTGTTTCAATGCCCGCTCAAGGAAATCCTAGAGAGAGTATATTAGTTTTGCTCTGCTTTGATGCTCCTTTTTCCCCCCTAGCCTCATCTAGTGTGAAGTGCCAACAGTTTTTTGGCTACGTTTATTGCTTGCTTGACAATTCGATTTATATTATATAGCCCAGAGAAATCTGGAAGTTTATACTCTGGTGATACGCTCTATATAAAAATGGCAAGTGGATATTGTCAGATATTCTCGCAGAACGTGACAAATATAACAAATCGACTTATATATCTCCCACAGTTTGATCTTCAAAATAAATATCAAAAATTCCCTGGATATGCCACTCCACATTTTATCCACTCTATGGATCAGCTATACATATTTATAGAGATACACTGGATGTAGGTGTGGCTAGCATGAAGAAAACCAAAATGTTTCCTTTGTAATTACAGATCCAGACTCATCAAACTCATCAAGCTCCAACTGACCTGCTCTATAGATCCATCCATAGGCGATCTGATTAGCCGAGTATGTGGATATGGTAATAAACTCACATGTTGTTGTACAATCAACGAGCATTGTATAATCGTTTGCACCTGAATGCTATTTTTACGAGTTCAGTTACATTTTCTCTCGAAGGTCAAGCTAGGGGCCCATATGAGCCATGCTAGGGATCGGCGAAATTCTATTACACTTTACGCAACGCATTTGTGAATACTTTTCAGGTTGATTTATAGCACGAAGCGGTGGAAATTTTAAAAGCTCAATTATAATTAATTAATTTTCTAATTAATATGGAAACATGTAATTCATGGGCTGTGTTTGGGGAACCCTTCGAGGGTGTGGGTATGTACGGAAGGGTAATCGACGAGGTACCTAACTGATTTTCCATTTCTAGAAATATCACTATAATATCGAATATAGCTCGATGATCTCTTTCATCCCATCTATAGCATCTGTAAATAGATTTGAGTTGAATTCAAAATAAAGCTGAGCGTCAGAATAATCTGATAAAAATCTCATCAGAAACACATTCCATATTAATGACGTTTCTTTGGGAATCAGCAAACGAAGATTAAAAGAACTGCGCAAAGAACAAAGTTTCAGAGAGTCGAAATGCTTTGTAAGTCCTTTCTGATTGCCAATAAAAATCTTATCTTGATTACATCATATCACAGAGCTGGCAAGGAAAGGGTAATTAGAAGCAGATCGGTATGGAGAGAAGAGGGAAAAAGCGAGACAGAAGTAGAAAAAGGAAAATAAGACACACAGAAAAAGAGAGACAGAGTGAGATAGAGAGAGACCGAAGGAATGTAAGATATAAAGATCAAGCTAACAAAAGAGAGACATACACATAATACGGAAAAGAGATAGAGGCACAGACAGAGAGGGAAAAACACACACACAAAGACAAAGAGAAAGAGAGAGAGAGCAACACAGATGAAGAAGAAGAGGCTTGACTGGACCTTACTCTCTGAATTACTGGCTTTCGATATGATCTAACACATCAGGAAGTAAACATACACTTAGACGTTGCCTGACAATATTGTTAACTAATTTCGGAGTAATACGAAATTGAAATCGGACGTCAACGGGCTGAATACGTCACGTGCGACTGACGAAAGGCGCCAGAGGGCGGTGTAATTATATCAGTTAAGGGTACAAATCAAAGTGAGGTGGTGCACGGCCAAATTGATCCGATTACACAAGCTCGATTTATAAATAAAGCCAAAAAACGATGTACATATATATATATATATATATATATATATGCGAGATTATAAAAATAACCAAACAATCAACAATATATCGAATAATTCGACCCACAGAACGTCACAATGCCAAATATTGCATTTTGGGTGTGGAACGCAGCAGCCGAGGCAATTGCTGTAAGGCAGAAAGAGAAGAGTATATAGGCGCATGTATACCCACACGCGTGTGTGTGTGTGTGCAGACGTTGAGGCGTCAGAGATGTGCACACACTTAACACAGTTTAAAAGCGCAATCGAACAGATTTGGACTTCCAGTTCTCAGCTGTGAGTATTTTTAAGTGCTCGCACAACGAAATTAGCCAAAGGAGGCAGACGGTCAAAGTCAGTGGGCGTGGCCGATTAAATTAAGCAAAGAAACAAACAGAAGAAGAGGACGAAGGTGGCTGACCGTTAGGATGCGGAAAAGGGGCAACAACAATGCGCACACAACAACAAATTGCGTCGCACAATCGATCGTTTGCCAAACGCAACGAACAAAGAAGCCGAAGTGAAGGGTGGAACGAGGAGAGAGCGAGAGCGGAGAGAGCGCAACGAGTGAAGAGTCAGATGTGAGCGGGGGGGGAGAGCGCGCATGCTGCAAAAGCTGCGCTGAGTGGTAATAAAATATTTGACAGTCGCACAAAAAATGTTAATAAGCAATAAATAACAAAAATATCTCTGTGTCTGTGCGTGCATACATATGCACACATGTACATGTACATACATACACACATATGTATGTGTGCGTGTTTGTGTGTTTACTGCAAACAGCAAACACAACAATGCAACGCATTTATGAACAAAGTCTGTTAGGTGTGCACACAAACACACACTCATGCACACTCATCCACACTTATACATACATATGCATACATACATAGAATAAATAAATAAATATATGAGCACATACTATAGATTTGTTTATTTCTGACCTTAAGACGCATTTTAAAAATTAACTTTACTTTTTAGCAGTTCGACAGTTATGCGGCGCCTTTAACAGGTCGCTCTTAATGCTGCACGCGCCTGTTAACATTTGCACGCGTCTGTTAACGAGGCAGACAGCGCGAGTTCTTGCGAACGTCGCGTGCGCGATCGTGCGTGAGTTATTTTTTTACGCTCACCATACAAAAAAAAAAGTCCACCTTTTGGCAACAACAATTTGCGTAATGTTTATTCATTTAATTATAGGCCAAGCAACGTGTCGAATTGCTTGTGCCAATAGATTGTTTAATCAAAAACTTGTACAGAAATTCAGCTAAAGAAAGTCTTAACGGGTTTATATACACATTGTATATACTATATGTTTGAATAGCTCTAATTTTATTGAGGTTATGTTGCTTATAATTCAAATATCCTTTGACGTTAAACATCCACATACGAATATTGTATGTAAGTTATAAATATGCATATATGTATGTATGTATGTACATACTCCCATTTCCAAATTCCACTTGAAGTCGAATATCTTTTCAACTAGACAATGCATTTAGTTACCAAAAGTCTATATGCATATGTACATACACATTTATACATACATACATACGTATATATTAGGAGATATGTATCTATTAATAGATACAAGACGTCAGCCCATAAATATGTATGAATGCATTCGCCATATTCAAATATTTCGTTCAGCAAATTCGAAATGGGTCAAATAAATTGCGAGCAACAGCATAAGTATGCAAAGAACGCATAAATACAAATATACAAAATGCACACATATACACGCAGGCGCATGCATACATATGTGTGAGAGAGTGTGCTGTGTGCATGTACATTTGTATTATAGACAGCATGGCGACATCGTTAGCGCCATCAGCTGCGCGTTTGGTAGATTGATAACATAATGTAAACAGAAGCAGCTGTTAACGTATGTTACGCGTGCCGAAAGTGCAGCTATTATTTGGGAACCGTTTGGCCAGCTTTTGCTTAGCTCAGTTCAGGTCAGGTTTGCTCCTCCACTTACCTTTCCGTTGTGGGCTCGGCACAGATGAGCGCATGCTTCAGCTCAATGGCCTGGCCATTCTTCTCCTTCAGCTCCCCATTCTCACTGTAGTATTGTACCAGCTCCGGCAATGTGGCGAACTTTTCACCTGTAACAGGTAGCGCATAGGTTTTAGAATTTAGTATTCATTAATTTTTTCTCTAGTTAACTTTCTTCTTGTTGTTGTCCACTTACCGCCATAAAGATCAAAGAAATCACCATTATTTTGGATTTTAATGTGTGTTACCTCGTTGCCGCGACGCACGGAAAGTGTAAAGGCGCCCGGATTCGAGGATGATAGACGCGCTAGGTATGAACCGTCGTAACCTTGTTCCTGTAATAGTTTTTCAGCTTCTAAGCCCGATATTGTTGGGTGGAACCATCTGAAATAGAGGTCAAATTATAGCAATGCAATATAAAGATCAAAAATATATCATAAGCTAGAGTTCTGTCGCTTATTCGTGACACGAAAATGAATGGAGTGATGCTCGGTTGCGTGAGTCGCGCGATCGTAGAGTGAGCACGTGAGCACATCTCTAACATGGCACAATATACATAAGGCTGGCCGCAACTACAGCAAAACGCCTCTGACCCAGCCACCTGCCATGCCATGCCCCTGTCTCCCCCTCTTGATGCGCTGATGCTCCGTGACAGTAGCAGCAACAGCGGCAATAACAACCAGCAGCATTGAAAGCAGCAGCAGTAGCAGCAACAGAGGCACAGGCAGAGGCAGGGGCAGCAGCAGCAGAGGTGGCAGACAGCAACAGCTGTAGCTGTAGCCAGGCGATACTTTTTGCAAATTTTGTGCCGGCGCAGGCGAGGAGGGGGCGATGTTTGTAGGGGGGCGAGGAGTACAATTTACTTTCAGCACTTTGTTGCACTTTTTATCTCAATGTTTCGTTTTTTTTTTTCGCTCGCTGCTTTGGTTTTTTTTTTTACTTTTTTGTATATACTTATACATACATATGTAAATAGACCCAGAGTGTATCTATGTGCATGTGTGTGTGCGTGTGCGGAATTGCATGTGTATGTGCTTGTGTGTATATAGATGTGTACATGGCCCATATGTGTGTGGCAATGTACATGTATGTGTGAATGTGTGTGTGTATGTTCGTGTTTGCATGTGTTTGTACGTGTGTGTACATTGTCTTTTTCCTATTGGATTTACCTTCGCGATGACATTTTCTTATTAAACGCGCACTTAAAAAATAAATAAATTTTACACTTAACGAAAAAAAAAACTAAACTTATGTGTGTATGCTTCTGATTAAACTTATTTTTACTGTTTGGATACAAAAAAAAAACTATGGATAGGCAAGGCTATTTATCGTAGTGATGGGAGCTATCGAGCACGACTGTTATCGATGTCAATCAGCCAACCATCGGTGCTGCGGTAGGCCGTAGCTAGTGTGTACACACTGACCATATTGCGCGATTGTTTAAATAACTTGTGAACAAATGCACAAAATAAGTTGTGCCGTGGTATATTTTAATTAATTTGAATTTAAATTAACTCAAACAGTGCTTTCTGCTATATATTTTGTGTGCATATATCGTTGGTTATGTCCTTGAAAATAGTTGCTTGTGTTTATATTCAAATTGTGGCAGCAAGTCGATAACTATTGTAACTGCCATTGGGCCTGTGCACGGGTTGGACAACATTGATACACAATGTGCTCGTTCCGCCGACTCTAATTGGAAATTGAGACAAGAGTTTTTGGTTGGCTTTTGTATTTTTGTTTTTATTTAAGCAATTTAAAAGTTACCTTTTGTATATAGAGCATTGCATTGCATGTATACATATACATATAGATTTATATATGTTTACTTTGTTAGTTTGCTTTCCTTTTGCATTTATACTTTTTTGTTTTTACTAATTTATCAAATAAATCTGCATATTTTTAACTTTTCAATCAAATTTACAAATACATTTGCACGACACGCATTCTTGTTTTTGCTCTATTTAGCTTTTATTATGCAAAACTTCTTGAGACCTTAAACAAAGTTTTGCTTTTTTAATAAATATTTATTTAAATCATTTTTTTTTTTAATTTTTATAAGCGAGTTTATATGTATATATATATATAATCAGAATCATATATATATACATACATATATATATATATTTGTATATATAGTGTAAACATTTATGCAGTTATTTTATCTGTTGTATGTCTTTTAGATTATGTTTTAGCTTTGGTTTTTTTATTTATTTAAATTTTTTGTTTTATCAAAGGTACCTAAGATTTGCATTAATTGTGGTGCCACACCTACCAAAAATGTCTCAAAAGTAGCTTTCGAAAAAAGGTATTCCGTCTTCGGTTAACCGAAGTAAACTAAATTCTTTGATTTGTTTTTCGTTTTTTTTTTGTTTTTTTTTTTTTTTTTGTGTTTTTGTTTTTGTTGTATGTGAGGTGTGAAACATGATATAAATGTTGTTTTTGTTGTTGGACTGTCATATATATGCTATATGTATGTGCATTTGTTTAATTTATGTTTGTTTTTTATTTATATTTATAATATTTTAACATAATTATACTCGTATAATTAATAAAATAAAAGCAATGTGCGCCTGACTCAATTTTTAAATATTTATTTGTTTTTTTTCTTTTATTTTTATTATATTTATATATATAGTTTTTATATTAGTAGTTTGTTAAACTTATTTTCTTTTTTTCAGTTTTTTACTATTATTTTTATTATTATTAAATATATTGAGTAAAAATAAAAAGTAAATAACACAGCGAAATATTTTAAAAATAAAATTACATTTTTAATGAAACAAAAGCTTTTGTTTTTATGACACACGCCTTGAGCATAAAAAATAAATATAATTCTAATCATAAACGTAGTATATTCAATATAGACTTTTAGGAGCTTAATGCAAATTCATTTAAAATTGCAAAAAAATACAAAAAAAATAAAATAAAAACAATTAGCGCTGACAATATACAGTACGAATATTTATAGCAATAATGATTATTTTAATAATAATAATAATCATAATCATGATAATTATAAGCCTGATGCAGAGCTTTTAGATGATTTAGCAAAATGCATAAAATGCAAAACTCGTTGGAAATCGAGCAAAGAGCCAAAAAAGCAGTTAACAGTTATATATAAATATATATGTAGAGACTTGATCTGTTCCTTAATTAAACATATATATGCATATATATATATATATATATAGAGGTGTATTTGCTTTTTACTTAAGCTAAACTGTTTTCAAATCTAGCAACAAACACATTATGCAGATATATAATATATATCCATATATATATATATATATACTTGTAGTTCTATATATGTCTTCTAAATGTTGTTCTTGTTGTTGTTGTGGTATGGCATTACAATACATACATACACATAGATATATCTATATATGTATATACGCTAACTATTACAATTTTTTGTTATCTCTTATTATTTGTGAAGCTTAAATTTCGCATTGGAAATATGGTAAATATATGAAATATTTCTGTTTTTTTTTTTTTTTTTTCAATTATATTTAGTTAAAGTTGTATGTGTTTTGTTTTTTGTTCATCATTTTTAGTATTGCGTGCACTGCGAGCTCTGCATAAAAAGCATTCGCTTTCTCTATATTTATGCAATAAACTCTCCCGTTCGTTCTTGGTTTTTAGCATGCGAATAGCGAGAGGGCCTCAGTTTTAGTGGGTCTTTGTGGATCATAGCGAACATGTTATTCGCATATGTTACATATATAGTATATATATTTTAGTTAAAGATAATATCAACTAAACATTTAAATGTAATATAATATAATATAATATATACTCGTATAAACACAGACAGAGAGATAGAGCGTATATTTTTTTTTTTTATATATTTTGTTGTTGCTGTTGTTATTGTTGCTTTTGCTGTTTTGTTGTGGCTGCAGTGCGTATTTATGTGGGACAGAGCACCTTCAAGATGTAATCCGTCAAGAGCGTCGGCACTGTTGGACTGTCCTCATTGATGGCCTTGAGTACTGTAAAAGCGAAGGAGAGAGAAAGAGAGAGAGACGAGATTAGTTATTATATTCAGATATATTGTGATATGATATGATATGTTCAGGTAAGGTGTGTAGTTCTCGGTAGTCCTTGGAATTAGTTGTCTAACAATGGAATACTGAAGCTCTATTTTCTCTAACACTTTCTCTGCCCATTAACTTTATTCTTCATTCTTTGCATTTGACTCTCATAATTTATCAAATCTATCATTTAACAGCACATATAACTTAGTTTAGTTCTAGCTATTATATTTCTCTATAGCTAGGCTCTGCCTAAAGAGTTCATCTCTAATAACATAGCATGGCAAATGTTAAGCTATATCCCTGATACACGATATATGGACAAAGAATCTTTATATATCTATATATGCACAACGATAACTACTCCATTATTCAAGCATTCTTGCCTCAAATACATACAGTATTATATATATATATTAGCTATTATAAACAGTTATATTAACAATCAAATTATCTTTGAGCTCAGTTCATTTTTTGATAAGCAGAATAATATATACATATGCAATCTATGGGATATTGCCATAAAATACATCGTATGCCATTAGTTAAGCACTCAACATTTGTCTACTATCTAGGAGTTCCTGGAAGTAGCCATGTTTATATAGCTATGTTTTACAAAATTATGTGAATGGCAACGACTTTAATAGGGCGAACTAGATAAAACCAGCTTCCATCTATATGCTTGCTAAGCTCTATAATCCCTTAGCCTCTATAGCTCTATAGCTTACAAATCAATAATTGCCTATGCACTTAAAATATGTTACAACAGATCTCTTAGGTTACATACAACTGATCTCTACATACATATAAAGTCTCATAGATTATATAAAACAAGTTGTTTCTTATATCTAAATCTCCTCTGTAAAGCCTAATGTTTCGTGGTTTCCAATAGTTTTGACTGCTCCTCATTCCACTTACTTTTGATCAAAACTTGCAACGATTGATTGTTTGGTGTGCCATTCTCCAGATGATAGGGTATGACAGTAGTCAAGTATTTGGGCTCCGGGCCTACATTAAGAGTTACAAATTGTGATTAGTAAAATATTCTCTCTCTCTCTCTCTCTCTCTCTCTGTCTTTATCTCTATCTCATTTAGTTATACCTTGGAATTTGCCGCGCTTCTTCTCGACATGGTATTGCCGACGTTTGTTCTGGACTGCCAGCAGCAGAGATATGAAGGAGTTCTTCAGCTCCTTCTCGTACTCGAGCTCGTCGCGCAGCGCCAGCTCGTTGATCAGTGTCTCGCTCAGCTCCTGGATGAGCATCTCCATTTCCATATACAGCTCGTTCAGCTGTGTGCTGCTCAAATATTGCAGCTCTGCGAAAGATGAGGTGGGATACTTTAGCTAGAGAATCGATTCAGTTGAATTGAGACACTTACTCTCTGCATAGAGCGGAGCACCGAGCACCTCGCGTGCCTTCTCAATGACCTCCGAATCGCAGTGCTCGGGCTCATCCAATGGACTCTCGGCCTCGTCCATAATATCGTCGATCTCCTTGATCACCTCCTCCACGGTCTTAATGGGATGATCGTCGGCATCCGCGTTCAATCCGTTCAATATCAATGCATGCATATCCAAATCATTGGCCACTGCCTCATCCTCGCTGGTCAAGTCGTTGAACTCATCCACTGGTGTCTGTGCGTCCAGCTGCTGTTGCTGTTGATTCTGTTGCTGATTATGCTGCTGCTGCTGCTGCTGTAGATTGCGCTGCTGCTGCTGCTGCTGCTTTGTACGGCCCTGGCCCAGATTGAGGGTCGGCATGTGCATCTGGCGAGTGTACGACTTGGACCAGTCGATGGGCAGAATATTGCCAAAGTTACCGGTGATGGTCCACCACATTCTGTAAGAAGATGATGAGCAACAGCAAAGATCAGATATTGGAATATATATATGTAAATATGTATATATGTTATATATATGTTGAAGAAATGAATCAATCGAGAAAAGGAGCCAAAATTCCGGGCAGTTGATGAATTGGCGACACTCGAATAGATGGAGAGAATGAGCGAGAAAGAGGGAGGAGGTGAAAGAAAGAGGGAGATGTAGAGAAAGAGAGAGATGAGGAAAGAAAGATGGAGAGATGGAGAGAGAGGGGAGAGACAGGGTGAGAGACAAAGAGAGAGAGAGAGGGCAAAAGACATGTATTGATGAGGAAATGATGAAATAATAATATTGGAAGGCCTAGAGGGAATAAGGGAATGATGGCTTATATAGAGTAAGAAATAGTAGACACCGAGAGAGTGAATAATAAAGATTGTGAGAGAGACGGAAAGAGAAAGGGAACAAGATAAAGAGACAAAGTTATATAAAGAGTAAAAGAGAAAAGGAGAGCGAAAGAAAAGGAGCTACAGAGATGAGAATAAATCCATACACAGATCAAGCGGGCAGAATGAGCGATAGAGAGATAGAGAGATAGAGAGAGAGAAAGATAGAAAGAGAGAGAGAAAGATAGAGAGATAGAGAAAGAGAAAGATAGAGACAGATAGTAGGGAGAGCGAGAGATTCAATCACATAGACAGCAAAAAAGGGGGACGAAGGAGGACGACAGAATAATATAAAGTAAGAAACAAAGAAAGAGAGCGCAAGTTTAAGATGGAAAACGACAGATAGATCGAAATAATATGAGAAGGAACGAGAGAGTGAGAGAAATAAGATAAGAAAAAGTGAACAGAGAGATAGAAAAAGGGAAAATCCAGCAGAATTAAAACAAAAACACAGATTAAAGGGTAGGAAAAAGGTCTTGAAATCAGTAATCCCCATACATTTGCTCTAAAAATTACACAGATAGGCAACAGATAGACGATCAGCCCTGACTGGGAATATACATACATATTTATATATGCACATTTAGATGCTATATCTTCCATCTGTAGCACATGCAAATGGAATTTCTCTCAGCAATTCGGGTAATACTATTTAAAAAGTGCTTAAATAATGCCCCACAGAGATTTAGTTTTAGTTTTCGTTTATTTTTACTTGTTTTTCCCATTTCGCAGCACTGGGTCAACGTTTTTTTGGGGTAGTGCGACGGTGGGCGGTGGGCGGTGTTCGCTGGGTGGTTGCATAAATTGAAATGCACATTTTTTAATGGCCTCTGTGGCGGCGCCCGACGGAATTTCGTTGGCTATTTATTCCGGACGAGTGAATGCCGCCCACTCCAAGAGCAACAAGAGGCGGCAACGACTGCCACCACTCGTGTGGTGCAATGTGCTGCCACTTACAGCCGCTAAAGACAAAGAAAAGGGCAGCAAAGGCAAAAAAAAGTGGCACAATAAACTGAGAAGTGCCTTGGCGACGGCTTAAGCGGGACGAGGAGCTGGCAGCGTTTAGGTTGGCTGGGTGGTGCAGCATGGGTGGCTCGCTGCCTTGCACTGGTTGCTGTCTCGGCTAAGCGCCTGATAAAATGCCCCATTAGGCAGGCCCCGACGCGCCGTGCCATGCTAATGGGATGCAATTAAGATGGCAGTTGAGATGGAGAAGTGAAGCCAGCCAAGTGGGAACGTTTGGCAATGAAACAGTAAGGGAATCTGTCTATCGTTCAGTCTCAGTCTGATTAAATCCACTGTAAGTGCTTTAGTGCAGTCTGAGAAGCATAGCTAATAGCTGGAATAGCCGAATTGGAACATGTAACGACACAATTGGGTAATGAAACAGAGAAATAACTGTGACTAAGAGCTGTAAATATTTAATCTAAATTGAACAGTGAAACAATTGGAATGAAACAGTAAAGTAAATATTTAATCTAAAGTGAATAGTGAAACAATTGGAATGAAACCGCAAAGTAAATATTTAATCTAAATTGAATAGTGAAACAATTGGAATGAAACAGCAAAGTAAATATTTAATCTAAATTAAATAGTGAAACAATTGGAATGAAACAGCAAAGTAAATATTTAATCTAAATTGAATAGTGAAACAATTGGAATGAAACAGCAAAGTAAATATTTAATCTAAATTAAATAGTGAAACAATTGGAATGAAACAGCAAAGTAAATATTTAATCTAAATTGAACAGTGAAACAATCGGAATGAAACAGCAAAGCGGCTGTAGGAATTCTTTTAAATGCAAACCAAAATGAATGCCAAACTAGTAAATTCCCTGCAAACTGTTTGCACTTGAGATTTCACCGAAAACAGCTGCTGCAAAGGAACAGCAGGAAGTGAAACAGACCAGAACTCTAATTGAGCAATTGAGAATGAAACAAGAGACAGTAAGAGATAGCGAATATTTTTCTCAGAAAGCCAAGTTGAGTTGTGTCTTCAATTGAGGAGCTATTTCAGATTGTAATCAAGACAAAGCTGAATGGAAATGATATGAAAACAGTTGTTAGGCTGGGAATACCCTGTACAAATTACAAAGGAAAAGCAATCATCAGTTGATAAAGGCAATGCTCCACGGTAATATAGAATTACAGATTACTAATCAGAGCAGAAATGAAAGCCAGCCCGACCAGAGACAGTTCAATATGCTCGACTTGAGATACCTCTTAGGGGAAAACTGGCAATAGATGTTATGATACATGTAATGTAGAGTCAACTGTGAAGAGTTGCTGTTGGAAACAACATACCCTTTATCGAGGCAGTGCCCAGGATATGCAAATTTATGTCTCAAATTGCAATTGGCAATTTGCCCAGACTCTTTCTCCACTCGCACATTGATGCGCAGTTTGTCAGACAGTTTGTCTGCCTTTGAGATAGATAGAGACAGAGAGAGAGAGAGAGAGAGAGAGAGAGAGGGAGAGAGAGAGAGATGCGTGGCACAGTTGCTATCAAATTTCACGATCAATGCCAATCATTTAATTGTCAGCATTTCGGTTTTATGTTACCCTGCAATTGTCGGCTGCCTCTGCTCGTAATTATTCATGCTCCACATTTGAGCAATTGCTCTGGGTGTCTCGTTAATTAGCTAATTAGCCCAATGCTGATGATGTTCCCGATGATGAGCATTTCACACTTGAGCGCCTTAACAGCACAATCTCCGCTGCCTTCGGCGATAATGAAGTTGATCAAGTTGAGCATAATGTAGTTGTAGCTCGAGAGCTGTGTTAGAGAGCTCAACAAATGGAGAATATGTGGACTCGTTATTTACATATATGAAGTACTTAAGAGATTCTGATGAGAAACGACAGAGAAGACGGTATCAACGAGTAGCCAGCTACTCTCTAGCCAACGAGTAGCCAGCTACTCTCTAGCCAACGAGTAGCCAGCTACTCTCTAGCCAACGAGTAGC